AAAAAAAAAAAAAAAAAAAAAAAAACTCAAAAAGGGAAAATTAAAACACCTCCCATTCAAATCCTTGCAAATCCCCAGACATGGCAAGACCATTGCCATTACCGATGGATTTCCTATCCAAAGTTGAGTAAACTAAACTCCGCAGTGCACATTTGCATAAAAACTCGAGTAGAATCTCCAATTGAACGCAAATGAGAGCGATAAATTGTTGAACATTGTTCATAAATTTACCTGAAGCCGATGGGATCGGATCATCGTCCTTCTTCTGAACCTGCTGCTGCTGCTGCTGTTTTCCCCTCTTATTTGAACCTCCAGTACAGAGAAACCATCCCATGGCGTACTCTCTCTCTCTCCCGTACCTCACAGAGTATCACCGAAGTCCACAGAGAGAACTGAGAGAGGGAAGGTTAAAATTGACGCCCAAACACGCTTATATCTTTTCTTACCAGGCCCATTTTTGCAGATACATCCTTTTATTTTACTAAATTTCTGAAACATCCCCCGATTTTTGTTCTGTTTTCCATTCAGTGCACAAAAAGTGGGTGCTAGCCGCAAATAAACGAACCTTGAGGATGAGTTGGAAAATTTTAAAATTTCTAACAAGTTTCCAAAATTTTATTTTCTAGGTCGGATACATTTTTCAAATTTTCAAATTTTTAATTTTTAAAATTTTTCGAATTTATTAAAAGGTAAATTTGATATTTTATATATCATGTTTTAAAATAATTTTTAGACATAAAAAATACATAATTTAATGGTTTCAAATTTTTTTTCCTCTAAAAAAACAAAATAATTTTTAATTTAAAAGGCTCTTTTTAAAATATAAGGACTAGAATGATAATTTAACAAATTTATGGATCTATGAGTAAATAAATGGAAATACAAAATAATTTTAAAATGATAATAATACGTCAGTTTTTTTTTTTCAATTTAATGATTTTTGTTGTTTCTCAATAAATGTAAAGAAAAATTAAAACAAAATATTAAACCAAAAAGTTCTGAAATGGGAAATTTTTAACAAAGGAATGTCAAAACAAAGTTTTTAAATATTTTACCTTTTAAATTGAAATAGCTTACCAAAATATGGTAAATAAATTTAAAATAATATTCTTAATTAATTATAAATTGAACCTTTTCATGTGTGTATTTGATTTTTTTTTTTTAATTTGAAAAAAAAAAATTATATCTAATGGTCCCTTTTAATATATTTTTAAATTTCTAATTTTTCCCCTAATAAATTTTAATTTTTTAGAATTTTGTATATAATAAATCATTCACATATTTTATTTATTTTTTATTTTTTTAATAAATTTTAGAGTAACTATGAATATTTTAATAAGAATGACTTATAATATACTATTTTTATTCTCACATATACATTTTTTAATTCAATTTTCATACGTAATTATGAATATTAAAAAAAGAGTCGATCAGGCATAATTTTAGTTTTTTTTTTAAATAAATAAAAAAGATTAAGAACTATATTTTTGCAAATATTTTTGAATCTCAATAAAGGCTAACTTTATCTTTTTGCTAACCACTAATTATTCCTTGATTCACATAACTTCATAATTAACCTACCAACCCATCGCAATTATTGGTGAAATTACAATATTAACTTCTATTATATCAAAATTGTTAGATGTCTATACAATATTTTATTTTTAAGAAATATCCTAATGTTTTTAGTTGTATTATTAAGTTTTTAATAATTTCCTTATCCATATAGACGGATAAAATTGATTTGGATAAGATTAAGTCAAGTAATAAAAATAAACTTTTAATTTTAATGAGATTTATTGCTGCCGTGACTAAATTGTTGCAAGTTTAATACATTGAGGAGGGAATTACTTGTACAATTATTCTCAATTTCATGTGATTGCTCTCAAATTTATTAAATATTTAATTATAAGTTGAGCTTATAAACATAGAAGCTTACGAAAATTTGAAAAATGACTTCAATACATGTCTTTGAAAAGAAATATATTAAAAAAGAAAAAGAACATAATTTCATAATTTCATAATTTTAGAAGACATTATTTAAATCGAATTAAAACCCCCCAAAACAAATTCACAACCACAAAATTTTAATGACCATTTTTAAAAGTACATAGATCAAAATAATCATTTTGAAAATATAAAGACCACAACAAACTAAACCAAAGTTAAAGAATATACATTTAATAGAGCGATTAATCTTTTTTACATTTTGAATGCATATCTTAAAACGGATTAAATACATTTTAAGTACATTTCCAAGCCATTTACTGTTCTACTAAAAAATGGCCTTACTCAAGGTCGGATCTTAGTACAGGCTATTATATTTATTGCCCAGAAGCTGCAAATGGCAACAAACAGTGTCCTTTTAACATGTTCTTGGTCACCAACCAATTACAGTAAGCTGACACGTGGCAGCCGATTGGGACTCCACCTAATTTCATGGTCAGCCTCTGGCCTTTGAATTATGAGAGGGAGAATTAAATATGTAAAGTCAAAAAGTACATGAACAACAGAGCAAGCATTTATGGAAAGTTGAATAACAACAGCATTATAAAGACTCAGAAACAGGGCTAAGAGCCTACCGGTTTTGTGGACAATCTATGTTCCCAACTTCTCTGACCTGTTATTTTGAAATGCAATCTGTGAGAATTAGGAAGTTTTTTCAAGTCTTTATGAGGGCCTAATGGGAACCGTACTTAGAAAGGACGATGGCATGACAAGATTTTTTTTTAAATACAAAGATTTTACAATTATTATCCTGTAATTTAACCAAACAAACAAAGAATCAACCAAAAAATTGGTTCTACCTGGTATCTATATATATCATATATCTATGCTGATAGAGAAAAGATGAACATATCTTAGAAACTATTGTTGGGAGTGGTATATAGATACAGAAAATGCAACTCCAAAATGATGGTGTACTGCAATTTGTATTGTATAGATACGAGTACCATTTTTGAGATGGAGTTTTACTCGTCATGGAGGCCGTTGATGTGTTTCTGATCAACGCCTGAATTTGGTGACTCTTCTTCAGGAGTTTTTTTCTGGATTGAAGTTTCCTCTTCGGTAGTCTTGCTTCCATCATTTGGATTTGGGTCCTCAACATTGGATGGTTTTCCCTGTGGGGTACAGAGCAGGCACGACGTTAGAACACTGGGTTCGAAGACACTAAGGAAGAAATAGTTTTCATCGCATTAAGTTGATACATAAAAACATGCGTACTACTAAGTTACGTTTACAGTTAGGTAAAATTAGTGTTAAAGGACTGTGCATTGAAAAACAATGATAATTGAAAGAATCAAATTGATAGTCCGGCAATGAGACAGCTTGTGTTTAAAGAGCGGGTCCCAAACTCCAAACAACCTATGCAGAAATTTAATAATTTAAATATAGAGAAAATTTCAAGTATCAGACTACAAGAGATATTATTATGGGTGGGGTCTCAGTTGTGCACCCCATGACCTATTTTGAATATGAACTCGTCATAAAAAAAAAAATAAAAAAAAACCTACACCAGACAACTCATTGAAGAACTTGATGCCTAATACACATGACAAATTCATTACCAGAATGTTACCAAAAAGAAGAGAGAAAGCAGACTGGCAGGGTCTAATCAACGGCGAGAGGAATTTACAAGACCAAAATGCTGTAATTACCCTTTGACTCAATTGGCTGCTGATCCACATAACAAGGAAACCAGTAGTGCGTCCGTTTCTCATAAAAGGATTAAGGTTATCGACTGATGGTCTCTTTCCAGAAAAAAAGCCAGTCTCGTCAGGTTTCTTCTTTTTCCGTAGCCGGGAAGAAAACATACAGTTCCAATGCTGAAGTTCCCGCAGCAGGCTCGTAAAGCCTCAGACTTAAGTGAAACAGAGATGAAAAGCCAGGCAAGGACAATAGTTTTTCTTTTCTAAATATTAATTCATCCATGAACGGGTGCTAGATACTCTTTTTTATGAAGGTATAATACTTACCATGAACGGATGTGTAAGACAGAGTGGAGGTTTTCATCTCAATAATTGGAAGGTTGTGTCTAGAATTATTAGGGAAAGGGCCTGAAATAGGTAACTTGGCTCCACACTCTCTCCTTAAATAAGGTTTTTGGATTGTCTCTTGCTATTGTTGCAGTTCTTGGAAACAATCCTTCATCCAATATTTCATGATAGAGGATGCTTCTTTGGCAAGTTGTTTTCTTGCATATTCCAAAGAAATAGGAGGATCCTTGAAGGAGTAAAGAGTGTTTGGTAGGACGTTTGAAATATTATGCCTCAACTCCTAGCTTCGGTGCATTTTAGTCTTCTTAAGATTTCCATCTTTTTAAACTTATCCATTAAGTTATTAAGGCAGGAAGAAGCTAATAAGGGACTAGAGGGTCAGAGATCAAGGCAGACATTCGGCAAAATGTTGGTGTGGTCCTTCCTTCCCCCTTCAGTATGGCGGCCTAGCTATTGGCTTCTTCAAGCAGAGAAACAAAGTCCTAAGTGGTTGTGGAGATGTATTCAATAGGACAAAACATCGTGGAGAACTGTGATTCACAACAGTGCATCGAATATAATTTAATGGTGTATAAATGAAGCTAGTTATGGTCTCACTGTATTTTGTGTATAAATGAAGCTAGTTATACTGACTGTTTGTACACATTTTTTTTTTCATACATATACTTTTAGGGTTTTTAACTCATGGTAGTGCAACTTTATGCAACTTTCTATTTGTACACATTTGTATGAATCAACAGATAAGAACATGCCTAGGGAACCACAAAAGTGGGCAAGCAGAGGCCGTGCACAACATTTCAAAGAATCATTTTCCAGTTTTTTAATTTTGAAGTAGCAAACGGTCACTGTATAGCTTCAGAGTCGCAAAGATTGACATTAATATCCTATCTATGAAGAAAGTGCATTTTTGGGATGACGTTCGGACTTTTGATTCCCTCATCACAATTGATTTTTTTTTTCTTTTAATGAAAAACCAACTTTTATAGAGAGAGAGAGAAAAAAAAATGAATACCAGAGCCTATAATTGTGAATGATGGAGAGAAGCTCAATGATTGGTGGTTGGACCTTTAAAGAGGCCTTTTTATAGACTACTGGCAGCTGAGTTGCCCTTACAGAGAAAATAAAGTTTGTTCAATTAGTAGCTCGTCAAGACAAGGTGGGTTTGCCTCATCATCCATCAGATTTATTCACCTCTAAATCTGCTTTCCTCAAGCTTACAAAGACCTCAACAAACCTAAAGACTACGTAGGTTTGAAGTTTAATGTCCCTAAGAAGGCTAAGATGTTTCTGTGGTTCCATGCCTCAACACTTAAGAGAGCTCCTAAAGATATTCCTCAATTTGGCTATGTCCCAGTTTTGCCTGTTGTTTTTGCTGTCTATGGAGGAATTCCCAGATCACCCAGGCTGGTGGTTTA